GAGCTTTGCGCAATTACGTACAGTCACGGCCAGACGCCCGTCGCAGTTAATTGGGCCCACATCCTCTATAATTACCCCATTTTTGTTGCGGACGCCTTGATGAACGCTGAAATCACTATAATTGCTCCCACCCTCCCCCCCCCATTTTCATCGCAGTTTCTTACCCCTCATGGCCTGATGACTCTGGACAGTTGATTGGTGTACATACACTATAACTAGCCCCTCCTTTGTTGCTGTTTCTTATATCTGACGATGGACTCCCGTAAGAGTTCGAAAGCTCCGAATAATAAGCAACGTGATCCAGTGCTCAACTCTTCTTCCTCACAGATGGAAACACCTGGAACGCGAAGGAACTCCTGTATTTGGATTTTTGAATCTACGTTAGACGCAGAATAGCTTTACTACAGAGAAATGATGTTCAAATCTGCTTTATTCAAGTGAAACTGGACCGATTTTCGAGAAATCGGACGTTCCCAGGTATCCAAGTAATTTCCAATCGCAGATCAAAACCTATTGTTTGTATGCGTAGTGCTATAGAATGAAAACATTAACGGAAGCAAGAGAAGTTAAAAAATCTCCTATGGAATCAGAAAGCCTCATTTTAAGGCAAAGTAAATCAGGTGAGGGTGGGTATGAGAAATCGCATTTAGTTCCAGAAAAGGGGGGAAATTCGGCGTTAAAGAGCATGTCTTGCAACTTTGTTACTTTTCTGTCTCAAATCACAGCAGTAAACTTGTTGGACGGTATTTGCTTTACCAAACCGAGAACTAGAAACTTTAAACATAGATATTGAGTACACAGGACACGCTATCAATTTTGAGTGTCATGTCGTATAATTACGATACCAAATTGCTTCCTTCGGATATACACTCTGAGCGCATACGGAGAGTGGTAGCCGAAGGGGTGCCGTATGAGCCGTTAGCTAGTATTTTATACGCTATTCAGGTCAATATTTGGCAATAGAAGGCCCACAAACAAGTAAGCAAGATGTCTATTTATTCGTCTTGCTTTAAAAGGTACCATTATATGCTCCTCGTCGTGCGGATATTCTCAATCTAACTAGGAGAAAGTATATCGCAAGACTTAAAAAGAAATGCAAACTATTTCAAAAGCAATGGTGTTGGTCGCGAGTAGGTTTATGAAGCCTCTGGAGATGCAGCTAAGCCTATGGCCAAACGGAAACTACCAATTTCCATTTAAAAATAACCGCAACTAACACAATTCATGAATAATAGGATACCCGCAGCGTTATTTGTCCCGCTCATGAAACATGCCAGTAGCTCGGAGCTAATTCCAACGCCTTTCGTGGCAGTTAACCCTAATTAACATTCGATGGGAGGATGAAGCAGGTAGTCCTTTCAAGACTAGTAACAATCTTTAGCTTTGACGACATCCTTTCACTCCCCTTCATTCACCAACTCTACTAAGTCATCGAAAAAGTGG